GACTCTTCAGCAGCTAGAGGCATCATTACAAGGCAAGGTGTAGGAAGAGTGAAGCACCTCCAAATCAGGACCCTTTTTCTACAGGACCTCCACAAGCAAGGAATAATCAGCGTGCACCCTGTAGGAACCAAAGAAAACACAGCCGACATAGGAACCAAGCCCCTTTCAGCGAAGCGCATTAGATTGCTGTTGCATTGGTTAGGTTTTCAAACTGGAGAGAACGAACCAGTAGGCCGAGAAGAACTCCAGGAACACAAGACTCAAACACAAGCCAAAGCAGTTGTAAGGATGATCAAGAGCTCAGGAACTTTGTCGTTTGCAGCTTTATTGTTTGCAGGTATTTCAGGAATTTCAGACAGTCTTCAGATTCAGAGTTGCAAGGAACAGAGTTTTGAGAACTGTTTTCTTCAGGAAGAGTTTTAGCCAGAGTTTCAGGAACATGTTTTCTGTTTTGCAAGTGCATGTGCACAGGACGGCATATGCAGTGACACGAGTGCATGTGAGTTAGGAAAGTCTGCAGGAACAGCGCATGAAACCTCATGTTTTGAGATGCTTTCTCAGCTCAAGGAATTCTGCGGAACAGTCGCGGAACGCTCAGGTATACAGGAACTAGCTAGTGCGACCTGTAGCAGAAGGTCAAGGAACCTTAGCAGAAGGTCAAGGAACCTCAGCGGAAGGTCAAGGAACCTCAGCCATGGAAGCCAGCGCGAGTACGGCAAGGAACAGCAGTGACGTTCTCAAGGAACTGGAAACGTTAAAGGAAGCCGCAACAGAACTAAGGAAAGCAAGTGCGGAAAGGAACGAGATCGCGGAGTCGATCAGGAAGAACACAGAGGAAGCGACGCGTTTGCGTCGATCCCAGGAACATGTGGCTGGTTGCGTGAAGTCCTTGACAGGACAAATCCAGGACGTCAAGTTTCAGGTTCAGGAAATGGCCGAGCAGAACGACAGAGACAGGACAGAGTCAAAGGAACACCTGGCGCACGTCTTCAAGACGTGTGACAAGCTCAAGGACCAAGTGCAGGAACTGATGAACGAGTACCACCTGGTGACAGAGGAACAAGAAGAAGACCAAAGGAACAGAGAAGCAAAGGACCGTGAAGAAGAAGGAGAACTTCGACGCACAGGACATGGTTTGGGAACTACAACGCGACCTACGTCACCTACCTCCACGCAAGCAAAGGAACAGAAGGATATAAGAGAGTGGTCTGACAGAGAGTACTTTGAACGCCTCCAGGAACGAGAGCAGGACTACATGGACTACAACTACGACGAGAACGAAGTCTACGTGCAAAGCTACGTTGGAGGAGAAGAAGCCACAGCAGAAGAAGCCACAGCAGAGGAGCCACAGGAACAAGAAGAAGAAGAGGATGAAGAAGCAAAGGAGGAAAGAAGGAAGCAAAAGATCAAGGAAATCAACGCCAAGAGCAAGGAAAGGCTCAAAGAGAAGGAGAAGGAAAAGGAACTCTTTCCGTACCCTTACGACTACAGCAGCGAGTGGAAGGAGTACACCGAGAACGGCGAGATCTACCGCGAGCACAGAGTTACAGGAGAAAAGCAGTGGATCTGCAAGGACTACGCGTACAAGCACGAGAAAGGAGGACAAGGAAAAGACAAAGGAAAAGGAAAGAAAGAAGGCAGAGGAAGAGCAAAGCCGCAGCAGAGAGCAGCAGCCGCGGGATTCGAACCGCGAGACGAGGAAGACCGCAAGTACTGGGCAGAACAAGACAGGATCTCAAAGGAACAACAGCAAGCAAAAGCCAAAGCAGAACAGGAAAAGAAGGAGCAGGAAGAGAAGATCGCCAAAGCAAGAAGGATCTTAGAAAGGCAGCAGACGAACAAGAGAAGCGAGACAAGGAAGAGTTCAGGAGAGAAGCAGCCGCAGCCGCAGAGAGAAGGAAAGAAGTTGAAGCAGCAGCCAAAGCAAAGGCAGAGAGAGAAGCACAGGAAAAGGAGGAGACAGCCGCAGCAGAAGCCAAAGAAAAGGAAGAGCAGGAAGAGAAGGAAGCAGCAGCCGCAGCAGCAAAAGAGGAGAAGGAGAAGAAGGAACAGGAAAGAAAGAGAAAGGAGAAGGAAGCAAAGAAGAAAAGAGAGGAAGACAAGAAGGAAGCATCGGCATACATTGCCCGAAAGGAAGCAGAAAAGAAGGCAGCAGCAGAAGGAACAGCGTCAGGATCAGGAGAAGTGGAACCGAGACGTGAAGAAGACAGGATGAAGAAGCTGGAACAGATGATGGAGGAGATGATGAAGGAACGCAAGGAAGATAAGGAAAGGATTGCAAGCCTCACACAGGAGCTTGAGAGCAGAGGATCAGCAGCCGGGTCGCAGGCACCCACAGAGCCAGACACAACATTAACAAAGGAGCAGGAAAAGCCAGAGGACAAAGGAAAAGGAAAAGGACAGGAGCCACCAAGTGTCACGCAGAAGCAGCAGAAGCAGAAGGAAGGAACACACGACAAGGAACTTTCAGCCAAAGGACCAGTGAACGAAGCATCGTTCTTGAAAGGAAAAGGAAAAGGAGAGTTTGAAGGAAACTGGTTTGCAGTCTACGGTTTCCAAGGCAGGAACTACCAGTGGAAGTGGAACGAAGAGAAGGCGACATGGTACTGGTACTCAGGATCCAAGGAAACTGGATGGAAAGCAGGATCAAAAGACAAGCAAGGAAAAGAGAAGTGCAGGGCACAGGCAAAGCAGCGAGAAGAGTGGCTAAAGGACCAACTCAAGGAACAGTCGGAAGTCACCCACGACAGCGAGGACGAAGACGACAAGCCCGTGAACTTCCAGTGAAGCCAAAGGAACGGCGAGCCGTACTGAGGCCAGAGAGCCGAGGAAAGAGCAGTGAAGCAGGACACAGGAACCGTGGCACAGCCCTTTTTGTTTCTGTGGTGATCTAAGTAAGTTTCAGGAAATTTTGTACAGTCGAGCAACCTTGGAGAGGATTGCGAGTGAACGTTACTTTATGTTTGCGAAGAGGAACAGCGTTTGTTTTGTAGTGAAAAGGAACTGCAGCGTGTTTACTGTCTGTTCAGGAAAGTCGGAGTCACCTGAGTCGAGGAACTTTCGCTAACTCCGAAGGCGGGGTGTTAAACATCTTGCCAGGAACAGTAACACCGCTAGTGCAGTGTAGTTAATGTAAAGGAACAGCCGTCACGCACACACGACGTGCAGGCTCGAGACTACCAGGACACACTTCGCAGTCCAGGAAAAGTGTCCGCCTTTGTGAGTGAATAGGAAAGCTTAGTGAAGCCCGTTCTTTAACAGAGACCCGGTTTGCCTCTCTGTGGGTTTGAACTTTGTTGACCCTAGTGCTATGATGAACACTGCGCTTTGGAAGTTTCGGACTACAGTCGTGAAGATTGCTGAGCGTTGGGAGGTTTTGGAGTTACACCAGGATTTGACCTCAATGCCAACCATGAGTGGTGCTCTGTCAGCGCTAGATGATTCTCTTCCGGGAGTGATGTACGAGAGCCTGACCATGACGGTGATGCACCGAACAATCGTGGAGCCCGAGAAGTTTGGGTTTCATGTGGAGCCCGAGGCACCAAACCCGTTACTGGATGAACCTCTGCCTCAGGTACCTTCGGAACCAATACGAGCTGATGAAGGGATGCCGGATGGTGCCAACGACTCCAATGCGGAGGATGAGCAGCCTGGCGCGCAACCTGTGTTGCCTGGGGTTCAGCTAGAGAAGCCTATTCCAGATGAGATTGACGTTGAAGGCAAGAGGTTGACTGCGGAGTCCCCAGCGGCTGAGTTGAAGTTGGCGTGCCGTGCGTTGGGTATAGGTGCTACGGGGTCCAAGAATGTCCTGTACAAGCGATTGGTGAAGCACGTGTGGCGTAGGAAGATGGAAGATGACTTAGCTCTGTTTGAAGCTGCGAAACTACCAGAACGCAATCCTCGCTCTTCTCCAGTTCCTACAGAACCATCTCCTGAAGAAGTTGCCAAACATCGGCTAACCCACGTACCTTACCAACCATGGTGCCCGTTGTGCGTGGCGACAAGAGGAAGAAGGGATGCTCATCGAGGTGATGAGGCCCACCGCCCTACTGGCGGTTGGCCAGTCCTGTGCATGGACCTCATGTATGCCTCTCTGGAAGATTCAGTGTGCGAGTTCATGAAGCAAGCCCCAACGAGCAAAGAGAAGAAGTTGACTGTGTTGGTGTGCGTAGATCGGGATACTGGGATGATTCATTCAGTGCCTCTTCCTGGAAAGGATACTACGGCTTTACAACATGCTGCCAAAGAAGTTCTTGGGTTTCTGTCCTACCTTGGTAGGACTGAAGTGGAGATCAGGGGCGACAATGAACCACCGATGGTAGCCCTGTGCGATAAGGTCGTGGAAGCTCGAAACAAAGCAGGTTTGTCAACCCGCAAGACTCCTTCTCAACCCTATGAACACCAGACCAATGGAGCAGCTGAGCAAGCAGTCTTGAGCATGGGGGACATTGGCAGCACTCTCCTACAGCAGGTTGAGCAGAATGGATTTGCCCCCAGTTTGAACCCCGAGTTGATCCCGTGGGCCTATGTGCACGCATCGACTTTGCATAACTGCTTTTTAGTGTCTGCGGGAACCAGCGTTGGGAGTGTATTTGTCGTCAACAGTCAAGCGTCTTCCAGAAGCACAACAATGGGACAAAGTGTTACTCAAGGAAGTTCAAGGTAAGCCTTGGAGGTACGGTTTGTCATCTATGGGTATGAAGATAGTACCTGGATTACGTGAACGCAAGCCGGGTCCAGAGCCCATGGCCGAACTACCTGTGCCTCTGCATCCGTTACCTCCTCCTGGTGGATCAAGCCCAAGAGAGGAAGCTGCATCTGACCCCACGTCAGAACCTGCGTCGCCTGACGCAGAGTCGGCTTCAGAGTCTAGTAGTGAACACCCAGGAGGGGATGCCAGAGGAGCCAAGAGGAATCGTGAGCCAGGAGGGGATGACGATGATTCGTCTCCTCAAAGCTTCCCTTCAGATCTGTTGAGTCCGGCTGCTGAGCCAGCTCCGATGGTTGTTGAAGAACGTGGTGAAAAGCGAGATGTCCCAGAGTCTGCTGGGAGTGACCAACCGGTCAAGAAAGTTCGAGCTGTGCGAGTTGGTGACGTGGACTACTTCGTTGCGGATGAGGAGATGGAGGACTGGTGGCAAGGCTTGGAGTTTGATGCCCAGTACTACGATGATGATTGGATGGACTTCACACCAGAGACAGATCCAGAGGTGTTCTGGGAAGATCAAGGAGAAGAGGAAGGACCTCCTGTCCTTTCTGCAGACCAGCTGGAGAAAGTGGAAGCAACATCGAGGCTGGACGAGAAGTCCAGACTCATTGACATGGGTGTGTTGGAGAAGGTGGAGATTGACCGTCCGGCGGACAAGACCTTGCAGTGCCGGTATGTGTATGACTGGCGGTTTAGGAAGCAGCACTGGTTGCGTCGCGTGCGACTAGTGTGCAAGCAGCTGAAAGCATGGAGTCCGTTCAGGCAGGATACCTATGCTCCTTCAACATGTCCCTCGATGCTTCGTCTACTACCTCACATGTTCGTGAGCACTCCAGGCTGGGTCTTAAGATCGTTCGATGTGTCGGATGCTTTCTTGATGGTGAAGCAGCGTGAAGAGTTGTATATCAGGTTGGACAATGAAGTTTACCGTGTCTGGAAGTGCTTGCCGGGCCAACAACTTGCTCCTGTGTATTGGCATGATGAACTGAGTGGAGATCTTCAGACTTGTGGCCTTACCGGCAACGTTGCATGCCCAGTTGTGTATGGTGGCAAAGATCAAGCCGCTACGGTCCATGTCGATGATGGCCTACTTGGAGGTTTCGAGGATCAGGTTGACCAGACGGTTGGCGTGCTGAAAGAAAAGTATAAGCTTGAGTGCAGTCCTCCGCTGAAGGAAGTTGGTGATCAGTTGAGGTTTCTCAAACGTACTCTGGAGGTAGTGCCAGAAGGACTGCGGATAGTGATCGATCCAAAGTATGTGGAGAAAATCCTCCAAGTTCTCGGGATTTCCAAACCTCGCTCCCGCAAGGTGCCTTCGACTACAGACTTGACGGCCCTCGATGAGACGGAGAAGCTTGATGCTATGTGGACCGGGAGGTACAGAGCAGCTTTAGGATGCTTGTTGTATTTGGCTCCTGATCGACCTGATGCGCAGTACACGATTGGTGTGTTGGCTAGGGGAATGTCATCGCCTACAGCAAAGCAGTTGTCACATGTGATGTACCTAGCAGAGTACTTGTACTACACCCGGGACTATAGCTTGGTTTTGCGGTGGAGCAGCCCAGAGCGATCATATTTGGACGAAAGCCCACGTGTCAGGCCGAGGCTTGATGATGGCGGAGAACCTGTGCCGCCTGGTGGAACCTTGGAAGCCAAACCGAGGTTGCTGGAGGCCGTAAGTGATGCGGACTGGGCAGGAAGTGCTGATAGGAGGTCGGTTACGTCGGGGCACATATTCTTGGATGGGAATCTGATGTTCTCGTACAGTCGACGGCAATCTACGATAGCATTGTCCTCATGCGAGTCGGAACTGATGGCCTCTACCTCTGCAATCGCGGAAGCACTTTTCCCGAAGAACCTTTTGACAAGTTTGACCAAGGACGCTGTGGACCTTGCTGCTCGGCTGGACAGCTCGAGTGCGCGCAGCCTCCTCACGAAGGCCGGTGTCTCTCGCATACGACACCTTGATGTAAGGCTGCTGTGGACACAGAGTTTGGTCCGTGAGAAAGTTTTGTCAGTGCGTCCATTGGGTACTCTTGTCAACACCAGTGATCTCGGCACCAAAGTTTTGACCTCAAACAGGGTGAAGTATCTACTGTACCTGTTGGGCATGTACAACACCGACGGCTTGATAACTCCGGGAAAGTTTCCGAAACCAGCAGGGTCAGATAAATCGCAGGCAGCTGAAATCCTTAGGGTTCTCACTGCGGCCATAGCCTTGAGTCGAGCTACGGCATCTGATCCCGAGCCGAAGTGCAACGTTCCTGCTGAGCCCTACGGTGCGGTCGGCGGGATCCTCACGGTGCTGACTGAACCGCTCTTCTACATGTTCATGTTTGCGGTCTCAGTCGTGGCGATCGTTGTGTTTATGGCACCAAAGCGACGATGGAACCGGATTCGATGTGTGGACCCTGATGCTGGTGGTGACGGAGAAGGTGAGAAGGCAGTGCGAGAGCCCTCTCCAGAACCGAACTACTTCGATGACAGCTGGTTGTTGGCTGCATCCGATGACGACGAGGGCGGCGCTACGGAAGCCTATGTGCAAAGTTTTGTGTATGAGCCAGAACCAAGAGGGCAGACCCCAGATCTACCTGGGCCTTCTGCGGGACCTCATGAGCATGTTCGGGAGGGTGAGCATTCTGCCCGTGATCTACGTGATGATCAAGGAGTTCAACAACAACGAGCTCAAGGACATGATCCATGGGCTCAGGGAGTGAGCAGTCAAGGACCGGCGCCAATGCCGGTACGGACGGAACCAACGGTACCAGCAACGTCAGCTGGTACTGGAGGTGGACATCCACCAGTTCCGGGACCAATGACGTTTCGGATTGGAAGCGGTCGTGCAGTGCATCGGGCCTCTTGTGGAATGGTGAAGAGGGCCCAAAGGTTGGAACCAGAGAAGCTGATCCAGCTCTCGATTGCGGATGCACTCAATGCTGGTTTGAAGAAGTGTGGACAGTGCAGGCCGTGATGGATGGCATCTACATGTTCGAGATGAGTCGAGTCCTGAGTCGGTTCGACAATCGGACCTGAGCGTTTTTCGCCTAGCTCAGTTTCTTCGCAGAGGATAAGACGCTTTTAGGTTCGTGTAGTGGACCGCGCATTTAAAATCCTCTAGCAGTTATGTGCAAAGCCTTTCGCAGTGTGTGTGCATAGTGTACAGTTTTCCGAGTAAGAGTTCCGTACTTCTAGTGACAAGAAAGGGACCCCAAAGATGTTCAAAGTACGGACACAAGCTGTTGTTTGGAGCCCTGTAAAGTTGCCAGGACTAGAACAAAATGAAGAAGGCCCACCAGAAGGCCCCTGGCAATTAGGTGTAGTTGTGCAGTGTAGGGCAAAGGACTTTGGGAATCGGCAAGATCCGAATGGATATCAGCTGACCCAATGGTGTCGGCATGAAGCCTGTAACGTAAGTTTCCAGGCTCATGAGGAGGGGTGCAAAGCTTAAATCTATCCTCTTGAGTGCACATGCATGCGAATACCAGTACGACTGAAGGCTTTGGCTTCAAGTGAAAAAGTGAAGTTTGCTGCCGCTTTACAGATTTGGGGATCTTCAGCGCATCAGCCTTAAGAGCCTCTCGCTGACAGGACACAGCCTTAGAGCCTTAGAGCGGTTTGCTGGCATACAAAAACAACCAAGCGAGGTCAGCCATTCGCGGTTCGTCTGCATGGTATCTCTGGCCGAGACCCGGCGAGCCTCTGGGTGCTGCCCTTCCTTAGAGCCGTCCAGACGGTCTGGGAGCGTACCGAGGAGATCTACGGCACACACTCTTGCCTCGACTTCATACTGCCAACTCTGCATAACCTACGGGAAAGCCAGCCGCAGCCTACCACCAGCCTATGTCCTGCAGCCAAGCGCTCGGGTGCCTGCGTTTCTTCATGTGCCGCAGGCATCTGGAGGGCAACTCCCCGGAGCTACTCACACCAGAAGAAGCGTCCGCCTTCACTATGCACAGCCTTAAGGTCTGTCTGCTCAGCGCCGGTGCACAGATTCAAGCCGCCGATAAAATACGCCAACAGCAAGGCCATCACAAAAACCCTAGCGTACAGCTTTACGGGAGAGATGATACCCTGGGAGCTTTAGCCTTTTACAAACTGAAATCACCCAAGCATGTGCCTTAGGTTGGAGGCCCACGCGCCCCATTGCCAGGGGAGGACAGCACCCGACGGTGGAGCCGCCTTTTGAGGTTAGCTCGTCTTCGCCGCCCAAGTCCTTCCAGCTCTCGGCCCTCGGGACGGGCCTAGACAGATTTATTTACTCACGTGAAGCAGAACTGGAGCAGGCCTGCTTTGACACCCAGCCAGCTGCCGCTAACAGCGCCGATCCTGAGCCTGTGGCAATAACTGCACAGTCCGAGCAAGAGACATTCGCAGCCAGCAGCCTTCCACCGACTATACCTGCAGACGACATCGAAGCCCTACTAGTGGAGAGTTTTGCGGTCACGCAAGCTGACTCTTCCGATTCGGATGACCAGGCTGCCCCGCCGACAGTGGAAGACATAGCCTTGTTCCAGAATGGACCGTGGGGATCCGTTCATGCTCAACCGCGGGGAGCCGACAAAGCGGCCTGCGGGACGCCCCGCTCCACGGCCGCCTTTTGCCCCACATGTCCCAACACAGCTTTTTTCTGCCGCAGAGCGGCTTGCCGACGCCTGCTGGACGCACTGCCTTAAGGAAAACGCGGGCGGGGCGCTATGCTCTGTGCTGGGTCAGCCCGTTCACTTGCCATGCCTTTTTCACCGCAGCCGTTTAGGCTTACCTGCCCCAGTCGCACCTAGGTCTTCCCGCAGGCATGGCGCTCTCTGAGCAATCCGAGCTCGCAGCCTTCCTGCAGGCGCAGGGGGTGCACGAGGTAGTCTGCAATGGCCTCGCCCTCAAGGGGCTCGAGACTGTTGAGGACCTGGCATTTGCTTACCCAGACCTCACTAGCTTTGACACTTTCTTGCAAAGCCTTTCTGAGTCGGACCTCAGTGATATGGGGGTCTCGCATGCACTACATTCAGTCCAGGCAGCCCGAGCCAGGAAAGCCTTGGCACACAAGGCACAGGAGGGGCCTCAGCCTTCACCTGCGTTGCCATCCCTCCCAGCAGCCCTCAGCCCTTCTGCCTCCCCATCCTCCTGGATGGAGCATTTGCCGCCTAAGCTCAGCTCGGAGGTCGTGCAGGATCTGGTCACGACCTTTAAAGCCAACTATCCGGGAGAACTCCTGGACGACGACACTATGCCGTCAATACGTCTTCTCAGCCTCGTGCAACACAGCCTTCAGCCAAAAGAAAAACTTAAGTGGATACCATGGCAGCTTCGCCTTAGCTCCAAACAGTACTCTGAAATTATGGAGGCGAAGTCATCTAAGCCTATGAGGACGGAGGCACAGCTGCTCGCCTCAGCCATATATGATGACACGCCCGAGATGGCCGTATCCCATCTCCGCGTCCTGGCTACAGCGCATCCAAACAGTCTTCAGGAATGCTTGGGCACTGTGTGGGGCAGCCCACCTCAACAACCTCAAAGCCTTCGACAAGCGAGTCGAGCACTTAGCCTTGCCAGACCTAGCCGACTCCTCTCTCCGGGGACCAACGACGCAGGAGCTCTTGGCAGCGGATCGAAAGATTTGGAACACCATCTCTAGCCTTGCTGCCTCTGGCTGGAGCCTGGACGAAGCCTTGTATGAGGTCACTAGCATTCGGAGTGACCTCGCCAACTTGCTTCAGCCAAGACCGCGGCCGCCACCGACACCGCCGGGCCCTAACCGCCGACCTAATGGAGGGAACCCACCCCCCCCCAAGCAAAAGAATCCGCTTTAACACGCAAAGGCAAAGGCCGCGGCAAAGGCCTTCAGAAGCCAGATAGCCCCTCCAAGTCCGACTCATGGCCTTCTAACTGGGTGTTGAAGGCCAAAGGCAAAGTGCTCTCTGCGCATTGCCCAATTGCAAATTCGCCCACCTCTGCGCGGTCCGAGGCTGCGGCAAGGAGCATTGTGCTGTCGACCATGACAAGAAGCCGTCCTGACTAGGCCCTGTAACCGAATCTCAGCCGCACCAGCAATATCAGCCACCTCTCAGGCCGATACCCGAAGCCTCACAAGCCGCAGCCATGGAGCAGCCTCAGCCACTCGAGAGCCCACAGCAGGACTCGCCGGCGACATCCCAAGCCGCAGAACCACAGCAGCCGCATCAGCCTCGGCCATGTGCAACACGCAACCCCGGCGGGGGTCCGGCAGGACGGCGCTTTGCCAGGACGTCGCTCAGCCAACGCAAAGCTCATAAGCCCCCAGTAGTCCCCCTTTATAGACCCTAGCGGTTTGCCCTTCCATTCCCATAGGCGCTACCTGCCTGCGTCACGCGCGCGACGCCAACGTCTGCGCTAAGACCTCTCACAAGAAGATCCCCAGCAGCGGCCAGACCTTCTCCTGCAAGCAATTTGGTCGCGAGTTGTTCTCGGCGTCCTCGCAGACCTCAGCTCACTTGCCCCACACCTCGAAGAAGCCTGCGCCTTTCTACAGGCCATACGCTCCTCCGGAGCCTCAGCCGCCGTTCTGCGAGGCGGTCCACGACGGGGGGCTCTTCCTCTGCCCCGAGCCAGATTCAGATAGGGTACTCCTAGCCACAGCTCCCTTACCCACGTGGCCCTGTGTAGACCCTGGTCTCGCAGCCTTGGAAGCGGCTGGCATGTTTGCGGCCATGCCACTTTCTACCAAACCCGCCCAGTTTCCAACCCTCGCCTCAGCCTTGCAAAGCCATGGAGAGCTGGCCAACAACAGGGCCCCTATATCTGTGATGGGGCCGGCAACGCCAGCTCCGCGGATTGGAGTCGACCTAAGCCGAGCCCTGCAGCCATGCAGGACATCATGCAAGCCTGGCTCAAATGGGCATCCCAGCGCGACCTGCCCAAACGAGTCTTTGCACACCTTTCACAAAGCAAGCCAGATCACCCCATCCCTGAAGAAGACCAACTCGAGCTCATTCGGATAGCCTGCGAGGTCATGGAGTGGGACTACGATTCCATGACGCAAGCGGCCGAAGGACAGCCATTTCGCCTTAATCTCATGCAAGCCTTTGCAGATCTCCTCAACGACCCGGACAAAGATCTCCCAGCCCTGCTCCGCGTAGGGGTGCACACGGGAGTCTTTGATCCCATTGAGCCCTCAGGGCTCTGGCCGCTAGCCAAGATCCAGCCATTGGCCTCATCAGGACTAGAGGTCTGCGAGGGGAACTGGAAGCCGGCTGAGGCAGACCCTGACACAGTACGAAGCCTTTTAGCAGAAGAAGAAGCTGCAGGATGGATCCAGCCCGGCCAGGCGGCCTCCAGGAAGCAAAACGACTTTGGCCCAAGGGAATAGCCGTCGGCAAGCTTAGCCTCGTGAAAGCGGAGAACAGAGACCTTCGACTCGTCTTGGATAGCACGGTCTGCCAAGTCAACCCCATGTGCCGCATCCCAGAAGCGGTGGCTATGCCTACAGTCAACGATTTCAGGTGCGAAGGCTCGGAGCAGGGCTGACAGGAGATCATCGACATACAGCCAGGCTTTGTGGGGAGCGAAGGCTAGCGCATGGTGTGCAATGCGTGTGATAAGTCCTCCCACTCGCTGCCACCAGTAGGCTGAAAACTTGGCTCCGAAGTGGCAAACGACGTATCTGTACAAGATCTTTTCAAACATGAATAGGAGGAGACCTTGTTCCGAGCGGTGGACCTTGACACGCTTGTGGGCTGCTTTGAAATCGACAGTGGCTGCGAGGAATGATCCCCGAGGGTCTGAAGGCATGAATGTGGCCCGGACCTCCTGTTCCTTCTCATAGCCACTCTGTCAAGCCTTGCCGCTCCGATTAGCTGGAAAAAGGCCTCAGTAGGGGACTGGCACTTTAATTTTCGCCTTGAAACTGTGGAACTCTGCGAGACCAAACGAGCCAAACTTTGTGGACAGCTCAAGGCCTTGCTGGCACGCAAGAAGGTCCCCAGAAAAGACCTAGAAGCCTGTATCGGCCTCTTATGTGGGCGACAGCCATCAGCAAGGTCCTTCGAGCCCATGTAGCACCTCTGTACAGTGTCTTGAACAGCCCGCCGGGCAGCAATTGCTCTATCTCCCTCGGATGTGGCCAGCCTTCCTCCACAGCCTTGACTCCAGAGCAGTCATCTGCCGGCTTATACCAGGAGTCAACCTGCCGCTTAAGGCCCGGATCATCGAGGTCGGCAGTGGACCAGTCCACTGCAAAGCCGACCTCCCCCCCACAGCCTAAGTCTTCGGGACCCACTTGGGTCCGCGTAGATCAAGCTGACCAACACTGCACAGGACAGCCTACGCTGGCTCCTGCCACGTATTGAGGCCATCCCAACCACCAGCCTTTCCCTTCCTTGCGCCCCTGGTCCCGTGCCTTGCCAGAGCTGACGCCATGGCTGAAGGGGACAGAGTCGGAATCGGGGGATGGATCACCACCAAACAAGGCATGGCCTGGTTTGCCGAAGCCTGGACCATGGAAGAGGTCAGGAGCACATGGCCCTTCCTTACCAAGGATGCCCAGAAATACATTGCTTGCTTTGAGACGCTCGCTCAGCTAGCACTAGCCATGACAGCCCGAGAACGCCACGCCTTCTCGCAGTTTTCGGTCTGCCTACCTTTGCAGAGCGACAACACGCCCTCCGAGGCAGGCATCAACAAGCTTTTCACTACTAGCTGGCCGCTCTCGCAGTTCCTTCAGCTGATAGCATCATGGTCATCCTGCCATGGCGTTGACCTACAGGTGTCTCACGTTGCAGGAGCACACAATCAATGGGCAGACGACCTCAGCCGAGGTCGGCTCCAAGCCTTTAGCCACAGACCGCAAGAACGGGTGAGAATCAGCCTTCACCGCCTTGCCTCTGCGGCCTCTCAGGCCACGTGGTCTGGACCCCCAAACACAACCAGCCCATTGTTGCCCAGACCGGAGTGACGGCTTCGCCGAGACCGACTCCCGCCAGCCATGCTGAAGCAAAAAGAGGACCGCTGCCATGCCGGTTGCCTGCCCCGCACCACTCTGCATGCTCCTTGGTCATTCTTTTCCTGCCTTGCTCAGGTCCACCTCCACCGCCCGCGGTGGGGGATACTTGCCTGCTGCCTTACCGGTTGGATCTGTCCTTGAAGTGGGGGAGTTTATGCCTTGGCTAGCCCCCCAGACCTTGGCACCTCCGGGCTAGCCGCAGAGCCTTACAGATCCAATACGGTATAAAAGATGGCAGCAAGTGATAGAGCAGTGCAAGCCTCTCTAGAACGTTTCGTGTTTTTGTTCACGTATGTTTTAGAAGGCGTGTGAATCTGTAGCACATCGCAGCACTGGCTCTAGCACTTGAGTCTTCTCGAAAAGCCCCGCCCGCCCACACCTAGGCTACGCGCCTTCGGCCCAGGCCTCAGCCTTTGTATTGCCTTTCAGAGTTCAGCCATGAACCTAGTGGTGGTACAGCCCCGGCTCTCCGCCTTGAACTACTTGGTGGTCCTCCAGCGAGGCCCGCTGCTCACACAAGCTGAGCCCGCTCCCTTGCCACGGTGACTTGCATCAGGTTCGCCGTCTAGCCTTCAAGCCCTGCCTCAGCTGCCTTTCGGTGCTCCCTAGTGCCCTAACCCCTCCGGTTACCCTCCCGAACCCGCCCTGCCAGGTACTTCGGTCTACGAGCACGTCAAGCTCTTCAACGCCGCGAACTGACCGCGCTTTCACTCTCACGTAAGTCTCACGGAGCGATCTCGTCCTGCCCCAGGTCGAGCCCTTAGCCTTTGCCTGTATCTGACCTTGCCTGCTATACAAGCCTCTCGCAGCATTGCCTCCTACTTCTCAGCCTCTGAGAATCCGTCTCACGCTCCTTCGGAGCTCACAGTTTAGCCTTTTCAGAAGTTTCACGAACTTCTCACAAAGCCTAGCCTTGGGGGAGTTTATGCCTTGGCTAGCCCCCTAGACCTTGGCACCTCCGGGCTAGCCGCAGAGCCTTACAGATCCAATACGGTATAAAAGATGGCAGCAAGTGATAGAGCAGTGCAAGCCTCTCTAGAACCTGCAGAAGGCGGTCGCTGGGTGGATGACCATGTGGGAAATCGGCAAGCTTGAAGGAGCAGACCCCTCGGTTCCTTCCTTCGAAAGCCTGTGCAAGGCAGCGGTTGAAGGGCTTCCGACTCGGAAGCATGAAGTGGAAGCTTGGGCAAAGCAAGGTGTGCTACAGTACTGGTACAGCAAGGAATTGCACAAAGAGACGACGACGAAGCACGCGTCGACCACGAAGACGACCGAGAAGGTCGGGGAGCTCGAAGATGAGCCTTTCCGGAAGGTCGAAGAGGCCCTGAAAATCGAGAGCTCTGTCCGGCCGTTGATGCTGGGAAACAAGGCCGGAAAGGCCGGGAGCTCTGGTGACGGGCCGCAGCTCGAGGAGGAGAAGCCGGAGGAGGAGCAGCCTGAGGAAGGCGATCTCTACAAGAAGGCCGTGCAAGGCTCGAGAAAGGCAGTGAATGCCTACAGCTCCGCCGCCAGCAAAGTCACGACGATGCTGGCAAGCCTGGAGAAGGCGGCAACACCCGAGGTTCAGGCAGACCCGCAGCATGCGGTGTCGAAGATCCAGCTGGGGGATCTGGAAACTTCAAGCTCGAAAGAGCGAAACCACTGGAACACCGTTTTGGCCAGGTGGCCGGCGACGTGGGACAGGGCTGCTGGGTTCTTCAACGAGGCCGAGAAGGTCGAGGAGGTGGAGCTCGACAAGAGCAAGTGCGAGAAGGCTCTCAAGGAGCTGAACAAAGTGCTTGCCCCTACGAAGGTTTGGACGAAAGGCAAGCTGGACTTCTAGCTCGAAAAGCGCTGCAGCTGTGAACCGAGCTCGAAGAGAGCTAGCAAACAAGCAACACTTCTAGCTCGGAAAGAGCTGCAGCTGTGAACCGAGCTCGAAGAGAGCTAGCAAACAAGCACTGCAGGCCGCCGGCTCTAAAAGCCTGTCCATTTGCAGGGGTTCGTGAGTGCATGTCGCTTTGTGCAGGGCTTGCCTTTCACCTTTGATGCTCCTGCATGCATGCCGCAGCTAGCTTTGTATAGCTAGCTCTTCATGCAGATCGTAGCATGTGGCAGGACGTCCCTTTAAAGCTCCAGCAGTTTAAGCGCCGAAACTTGCTGCCATATTTAATTTTTAAGCTAGGCCGCCCAAACTTGTTTCCCTCACCATGCACCCTAAAGCCATTATAGAGGCCCTTAAGGGATAAAACAAACACGACTTTAGCTATAGGCCTCCCCGGGCCATGAGCCATGGGCAAACGAAGCCTGCAAAAGGCATCTCCAGCAAGCGGAAGCAAGAAGCAGAAGCCTGCAAAGGCGGAAAGCAGCAGCTGCAGCGAGGAACAGGGGAAGCCTGAGAAAGGCAAAGAGCTGGAAGCCCTTGGCGACGAGTTGAAGGGGCTCTACACGAGCAATGCTGCCACTGCTAGGAAGGCAGCTTCAGTTTTCAAGAAAGCCCATGATGCGGGCTTGCGACTGAATATCCCTTTTGATAAGGCTCTTTCAGTCTTAGGAAGGCTGCAGAAGCCAGCAACTTGAAGCCTGCAGAAGGCAGCGAGGGCAGCGACCTCAAGCCTGCAGAAGGCAAGAATGCAGCAAGAACATTGCAAAGGTGGATGCGGAAAAATTCCACTTGGCCCGACCTGTACTGCGCACCGCAGCCCTTTGTGGTCTCAAGAAAAGGAGTGCCTGCGTTGAGCCCCGTAGGTGCCCCGCCTGTAGAGACCCTGCCGTTTTAGGCTTCGCAAGAACACGTTCATTTGAGTTATGTAGAGTTCTGTTTTATTTTCAACGCTTGTTATCCCCCCCGCCAAAGCGATTTCGTATGATTTTTTCGTTTTTCTTCCTCTTCTGGTGGCGACGGCGAGTTGGCCGTCCTTGAAGATTTAATTTTGCTTTTCTTCGCGTCAAACCCCCCAAAGCGATTTCGTGTGGTTCTATCCTGCTTCGCACACATCCGACTTTCTGCCTCATGTGTGTCAGTTGTGCGTCCATTTGAGTTATCCTGTATTTTGTGAATCGCTATCATAACCGGCTCTTTGATAACCATCGGTACTTCGCGTTCTTCACTCATGTTCACGACCGAAGACCAGTGAGCAGCCAGCACGGATCAGCGACCTGTTGGTAAAAACTTGTAATTTTCGTCGCAGAATTTTTTCGACTTCAAATTAAAATCGGTTCTAGCCTGCAGCCATATGCTGCACCTGATCATGCAAATTTGCACCTTCCGTTGAGAATCCGTGCAAACGCTGGGACTTGAGGTTGATATCCTGACCCCATGTCTGGTGTGAACCTAAACCCTAAGCCCTGCATCGATGTGCTGGCCGCCACAGTCTCGGCTTTGAGGTAGCGGTGGGCAGTAGAGTGTGTCGATCGATGGAGAGAGACATGCTGGTGCAGTCCAGGTGGGAGCAGGGCAAGCGGGAGTTTCGCCAAGGTCAGAAACAAGATGGGGCCGAACAAGGAGTTTTGGGTTTTGTCAGTTTTGCTGCTAATGACCTAGCCCTCACCCTTAAAGCCCTCCCTGCAGTACGACCCAGTCAGCCAGGTGGCAGGCACAAAACAAATGAAAACGTAGGTAAGATTCAAATATCATACATGTTGCAGTATGTCTGAGAAAGGGCAACAGGGCTGCAGTCCTTGAAAGGTAAGCAGCGATTCAGGGCTTAGGATTTAGGCCACATGGCAGATGCCAAATTCTGAGACCAGATCCTTTTGGGAGGGGCTTTCTAAATCAGGGTTCCTCTTAGCATGTTTTTTCGCGAGCCTTTTGTTCGGTATGCCCCCATGCTCCAAAGCTTAGAGGATGGCTTGGAATGCAACCCGCAGTTCACAAAGGATCACTTGAACATCTAAGTTTTCAAGCGCCCTACCCTGTATACTTGGCAGATTAAGTGGATACCAAATGTTTCAAGCTGGAGTCGGATACCAACAATGACATGCGACGTGACGTCGCAAGACTGTGTGATGCGGTTCTGTTGGAGTTTCCCGGGATAGCCGACGAAGCAAACAAATTCGTTTACCTCTGAATCGTCAGGCCAACACAGCACCAGTGAACAGAATCAAACCACCGAAGCTCTTTCCTAGAGGGCGTTCTCAACGCTCGCGTTTCTTGTCGATTTTTCACGAAAGCCCATTTCGAGGCCGCAGCTTGTCTGTCGAGGCCGAGAGATGCTCGGGGGAGCAGTGATTACTTGGGCCGCAAAAAAGTCTTGGGCGTGTTTGCCTTGTTGTGCTCCGTTGGGGGGAAAGGTAGCTTGGTTCCGATTTTTCTGGTCAAGGTTTACGGTTGTGAGCTTTGAGGGGGCTTTTAGCTTTTTCGAACCTTTCATCATAGATGGGAAGTCTGCTCCGGCAAGCGTTGACCCGGATGGAGCTGCTAAGGAATGTTCTGGCAAGTCTTGCATGCTGCTCCTTGTTATGGAGAATTCCGATTTTAGCCATCAGCCAGAACGTAGAGCCTTTAAGAGACTTATCTTGTGATCCTCATGGATTAGCGCCCGGCTTGAACAGTGGACCCCAACACCGAAATGCCAAAATCCCGAAATGTTTGAAAGCCGAGACATACAAGATCAGGGAAGTACATAAACTTCAGCAAAGGCATCTTCACAACGCGCCGAACAGAGACATTTGTGTTCAGTCTTGGTTAAAGTTGAAAGCCTCGGGACATCGCGATTGAAACCGAGGTATGTGCATAATGGAATCAGAGTCTTCAACGTCTGACTTTCGTTACTGTCCTCCATGCTGCGGTGCGATTACAGATTGTCGTCCCGGATTCATGTCTAGCCGCCTTTTCCCTGAGGCCATGGATAACCGTCTCCCCGTCACGGGTGAAAAGCGCCTGCTGGCAGCTTGTGCAGCGGCTGGTCGTTGGTCGATAGGCTTCCGAGAGGACGGACTTAGATTTAACGCATCTTCAGTGCCGCTGCAATAAAGCATGTCGATGGTCTTCGGACGCAGCCCCGATGCATGTTCATACATGCAGCACAGAATCAACGTGAGAGTTTTCGGGCACGCGTCAACCTCTTGCCAGTGCCTGAAACCGGCGAGCCGAGATCCGCTGCGTTTCGCTCCCTTCTCGGAAGGTGCGCCCTGAGGCGAAGCGAGACGACCGAGACTTGGGAGTGGCTTCAAATCTTTCTAGTGTCCAGGCCGGGCCCCGTGCAGTTTGCCGCGCCAGCACTCCGAAGCATCTGCTCCGCTACACTCCAGTCCTCTTTGCCTTTTGTCGCCCCTGTCCCTTCAATCGCTTCAGAATCTGAGATCTGATGAGCAGACTGTGGGCTTAAATCATGGCCTAGGGAGACAAAGAGAAGAAAGACCGATGCCCTGAAGTTGCTTCAAAGGTCCTTTGAGGGCCTTTGCTTTGTGCTTTCTGGCCTTCCGGTGTACATGGCAAGCTGGCTGTCTCGAAGAAGGGCGCCGCCTCCGCCGCCCAGGGCTGGCGGAGCAAACCTTGGTGTCACACTTGGCCCTCGTCCCTGAGGGTGTGCAGCCGCCCCCAATAGCCCCCAATTTACGATCCAAACATCAGCAGGTCGCGGGCCGGCGCCTGCCATCCTCCTTGGGAGCAACCTGAGCGTCCTAGCGGAGATCCGCTTTTTTCCTGGTCACCGTCCTGCTGCGAACGCATTTTCCTAAGGGGTGAGCCGCGGAGCAGAGGGAGAAAGGTATGAGCTTCTCCCACCAGGTGCCGAAACAGAGCAAATAAGCGAACAGGGATGAGCTAGTGCTGCGCATGGGGCTTACAACGTTGTCTTCTTCATAAATAAGGAAGGGCCCCCAATAGTCCATCCCTCACGGCTTCACCTTGTGTCGGCGGCTCCCGCTTCCAAGACAGGTTGAAGAAGCTTTGGAGATCGCGCAGTGTGGGTCTGCTGGGAAGTAAATGCTTCATCCTCTCAAGGCGCAACTGTGCTGGATGGGAACTGCACCAGGGTATTCGCCCCTGGGAGTATTGTTTGAAGGCCCTCTCTCTCTCTCACCGCGTCACGTGTTCATGTCTGAGCACTACGGAGCGCAGCACCTCAGTGGGCACTGCATGTACTGGCAGAACACAGCCTGCCACCTACCCCGTCCCCCGGTATCGCTAGGAGCGCTGCCCTCAAAGCTGCGCACACCGCACTACACTACGCCACGGTGCCAACTCATTCACAGAAACACTCCGGCATAGCACGCAGTTGGTGGGCAAGCCTGGGGACTCGCAAAAACTTGCTGCTCACAACTGTTGGCGTCCGCCGCCCCCAGTCAACCTGTATGTCTCTTTCAAGAGGTTTGAAGGCCCTAGTAGGGATGGCAGAGTACCTGACTGCGCCAACATCATCAGCGAGCAGCCGCAGCGTAACCACGGCATGCCCACTTGGCAGTTGTCTTGGCCAAAAGACGCTGGCTTCTCAACTGACGGGCGGCTTCAGCATGCTCGTGATGCAAGATTAGGTCCAATTGTGAGGAATGTGGACCCGCCCTGTATGTATCTGTGTGCCGGGAGACTTGCCTCAACAGTCCCTCCGCTATTATCATTTCCCATAAATCTGGATGCTTTTCCCTCATGGCATTACAATCCCCCGCAATAAAGAGCTCAAGCTGCCTATTCCTGCCTCCAAGGAAGTTTTGCAAGACAGTCCCTATGTCTTGCAGCTTGCGTGCATGCGCATATATAGCTACAATTTCGCAACGGTGACTAAAGTGTGAAATCTCAGCTGCAACAATGTGACCAGCCAGGACTTCCTGTCTCGATTTTGAAAGGGGCCGGGACTAGGATTGTGCCCCCCAAGCTGCCTTCGGCAACTTAACCGAGCGTCG